ACGCAGTCCCCACCCTCTGCTGAGCTTCCCCAGGCTGCCCTGCCCTCGACCTCACCTGTCCTTCCTGGGCGCCTGGAGGACTTCCTGGAGAGCAGCACTGGGCTACCCCTGCTGACTGGGGGACATGAGGGGCCAGAGCCCCTCTCCCTGATTGACGACCTCCACAGTCAGATGCTGAGCAGCTCTGCCATCCTGGACCACCCCCCCTCACCCATGGACACCTCAGAATTGCACTTTGCCCCCGAGCCCAGCAGCATGGGCCTGGACCTAGCTGATGGCCACCTGGACAGCATGGACTGGCTGGAGCTGTCATCAGGTGGCCCCGTGCTCAGCCTGGCCCCACTCAGCAACACGGCCCCCAGCCTCTTCTCCACGGACTTCCTCGATGGCCATGACTTGCAGCTGCATTGGGATTCCTGCTTGTAGCTCTCAGGTTTGCCAGGGAACTGGAGGGGCTGGAAGCTGGGGAGCCTCAGGAACTCTAGGGAGCTCAGCTCTCTCCTGCGGGATCCAGCTCTGTGTGGTCATGAGTCCCGACAATCACAGGCCCTGCTTTCCCCTCCCTGGCACGGGGTCACCCAGGGGTTTTGGAGACCTGGACAGGCCAGGGACTTTCTATTTGACCTCCTTTTGTGAGGTTGGAGGTACCTGCCTGGCTACAGTTTGCTCAGGTGGGCGAGGTATGAACTCCCTCCTTCCCTTCTTTTCCTTACAAGGGAAAGAAAAACTGGGCCTCTACCTCCCCATTCCCCGTGACCCTAACCCCAGGTTTCCTAGGCTGGGGGAGGCGCTGCCATGTTAGTGTCTTGCTGTAGAGTAACCATTTAGTGGTTGGTGGCAAACATGTTCTGTACAGGTGTACATACCTCTATATTATATATCGCCATACATATATATATACATATATTTTTGGGGGGTAAGAGGTGGATGAAGTTCCCTCCCATCCTACTGTGCACATATAGAAGGGTCTGGAGATCCCTGCTCCACCCATTCACGTGTGTTTGACATGTAGACACCCCATCACAGCCTGTACCCCACCTGTCCTGCTCGTTATCAGTGCCACGAGGGCAGAGGTGCATCTTGGCCACCTGCCCACATTCCGTCCTGCTGCCTCACTGCAGCCACCACGGCCCTGGGACAGGAGGGGCATTAGCGCCAGAGTGGGGCCAGATGTAGCCCTCAAGCTATGGCTTCCTCCTGCCCTGGGGCCCAGCCTCCCTTCTGGCTGTCACTGTTATTCTAGGGGTTTGGGGAGGGGGGGGTCACCAGTGCTGGGACAGGGGTGGGGAAGCTGTGTGAACTTTTTAAAATAAAAGCAAAAACACCAGCTTGTTAGTCCCTCTTGGTCAATCTATGGATGAGGTGGGTGGTATGGCTGGGCCCTACACCCTAACCCCACCTTCCCAGCCAGGCTGTCCGTTCTAGGCCATTCCAGAAAGGGCAGAACCTTGGACATATGGTTCTATGGTCCCAATTAGATTGAAGACAGAAGGTGCTTCTCAAAGACAATTTATTTACAGGCCAAGGAGCCTTTCGCCACCCCCACTCCTTCCTGAGCAAAAGCGGACAGAGGTGGCTCTCTACCTCCTCGTGAGGTTTTTGGTCAGTACAAGTAGTGAGGGTGGGGCCTGGAGCCTCCAGAGACACTGGGAGGGATAGAGTGAGCCAGGCCCCACCTGCTGCCACCAGGGTGGTGTCTCCAATCTCCCTACCATGGTGCCTGGCCAAACTCCAGTGTCGTCTTCCCTTGGTCCCGTAGCTTGGGTTAGGCCTGGGCCACGTCAGCCCCCATCCCAACGCCCTTCTCTTCGTAAGGAAGCAGCTGCTCTGGTAGCCGACGGGTTGGGAGAGGTCTGGGTGTGACAGGGCCATTGGAGGAAGAGTGTCACCCGTCTATATCCCAGCTGAAAAGGTGGTGCTTCACCAGCATGTCCTGGACGCCCTCCTTCAGGGGCTTCTTCTCCTCCTGCAGAGCAAGAAAGCCCAAGGTGGCAGGGCCCTGCCTCAGCCACCACACCCACCGCAGCCCTCCAGGAGGAAGGCAGGTCGCTGGGCTAAGGACCAACCCCCACCACCCACCTCTCTCTTCATAGGAAGTTCCCAGTCCTGGGAGAGGCTGAAGGCAAAGCAGCAGAGGACACTGGAGGGGAGGAAGGGGAAGCTGTCAGTCACCCTCAGGTCAGCTCCTTCGGTCCCCCTTCCCCAGGGCCAGCAGAGCAGGGTCCTCACCGGAGCTCACACTTGATCTGGACCCAGCCGGGGCTTCGCAGGAAGGACCAGGGCTGGTACCACTTCTCCACGGTTGGCAGGCTGGAGCAGAGCACCTCCAACCACAGGTGTAGGACCTGCTCACTGGGGACAGGTGGGGGGAGTGGGCCATCCACAGAACCTTCTGAGGATCATGAGTGGGGTTCTCCCCTCCAGTGCTGGACTGGGCTATCGCCACTTCAGGGTTCCTCTAACCCCAGCCCCCTTTCCTCCACTTCTCGGCCTCCTCAGGTGACCCCACCTCCTTTACTCTCAGCCCCTGGCTCCAGCTCCCTCACCCTGGGAGACACACAGGGCCCTCAGACCTACCCACAGCTCTTTCCTCTCTGCATCTGAGAGTAAAGGAGGTGGGATCACTGACCCCTGCTGGCCAGTCCAGGAGTGAAGTGCATACTCACCAGCCTGCTGGGGTCACAGCCATATTCTGAGCATGTCTCGGGGACATTTGTGCCTCTGCAAACCACTCCTCCTCCCACCCCAGAGGGCAAATCCAGTAACATCTCCTTCACCCAGCCCTGAGCCTCACAAATGCCCAAGCCTCTCAGGCAGGCACCCCTCCCTGGCTTGCTGCAGTAGACTCATTTCTGGGAAGCCCCTTCACTGGTCATGTTGCTTAAAGTCTGTGCGTCATAAACCCTCAAGCATCTTCCCCATAAAGCAGCAGCTGGTCTCGTGCTGGAGAAAGGTCACTGGGGTCACCCTTGCCACTTTCCATTTGTCCAAAACCTGGGGGCCTAGAAGGCCCAGCACACAGCCCCTGCTCCCCCCAAGGGCCACAGCCCAGGCTGCCACTCACCCAACTGTGGACTGTCACGCCCACAGTAGGCACAGACACTCACTTGAGCCCCACACAGATGAGAGAGCGGAGCTTGACATCCATTTGCGCATGTGCAGCGTCGTGGGTCACATTCACAGACTGCACTGCCTGGGAGGACACAGCTGTCACACAGATGCCCCAGCTGCCAGCCCAGGAGCCAGACCCCACCCATGGCCCTGCCTACCCGATAGAGCAGCTCCTCCGGGGTCAGAACTTTGCCATCTTCATCCAACCTGGGGAAGAGGGGAACCCAAAGCTGCCAGATGTGCAGGCTTGGGCTGCTCTCTCCCGCCATGATGCTGCCAGGACCCCTGCCAACGTGGGGGACTGGGGCCGTTACCTGTACGTCTTACACAGCACCAGGCGAGAATACACCGAGTCGAAGTCTCTCTCCACCTCCCGGCCTGCTGCCTGGGGGTTGTAGGGAGAGAACATCAGGGACAATGGGGTAGGTTCCAAGTTAAAGCTACAGGGTCCAAGTCAGTGCACATCACCAACCCATGAGCTCCTCCTGCCAGCTCCACAGAGCCCCGGGACCTGGGGAAAAGGACGGTGGAGGACATGGGTCCAGCTACGGACTCACCTCCTCAATAAACAGCCAGGGGTGGCAGGCGCCCCCGAGCAGAGATGGCTTCTTCAGTCCGTGTTCAAACAGGGCCTTGAGGGCTGGGCAGAGGGTCCCTCGCACGAGGTCTGTGACGCCCTCCGTCACAGTGTCATCTCCCGCGATGGAGTACTGTGGTGGGGGACAGGTCTGAGAGGCTCAGCCCTGCACCTGCAGCCAGTCACCCTGTCCCTGTCCTCACATCCCCTGCCTCCAGCCAGAACTCGCTCAGGACACAGGCCTTGCCAGGGTGGAGGCAGCAGCAGCTCCCAGGGGCAGCCCTGCCCTGTGCCCTTCTTACCTCTTTGCTCCGTTCATCGAGGACTTCCACAAACTTGGCTGGAAACCAGCCTGTGGGAGAGGCAGGGTCCCGTGAGGAGCCTGGTGTCCCCACACTCCACCCTCCCCCCCAACGGGGCTGAGGACAGGCTCAGCCAAGTTCCTGGGGAGGGGAAGAGCCAGGAGGGATGTAGCAGAGTGACCAGCCTCACCTCTTAGGCCGTTCAGCTCCCCGACCCAGCAGTGCTCGTCCTTCTGAGAAATGATCTGTAGAGAAGAAGAGCAGGAGGCAAAGCTGTGGCTGCCGGGGCCCAGTGCCTCGCACACCACCCGGTTTCATCCTCAGCCAGGTGGATGGGAATACTCGGCAGGGAGAGGCTTGGCTGAGGCGGAATAATCTGGCTGGACCCTCAGGGCTGGCAGGTGGCAGGACCAATGCTACCTGCTCCCAGCAACCAGGCTCCACCTGCCTCTGAGCACCCACCTCCCAAGCCTCGACCCACGCACCGTGATGATGTCATTCTTGCGAAAGCCTAGCTCATCGTCATCGTGTCGCTCGAAGTCTAGCAGGGCCTTAGCCCTGCGCCGGTGGCTGCGTGAGCAGGCCACGTAGTTCTCGTGGTCCCGCTGGTGGCTCTCCATGCTGTAGTCTGGAGTCAGCTCCTGCCAGCGAAGTGGGAAGGCCCACCGAGGGGAAGGCGCCTCAGGATAGGGCTGGGAAAGGAGAGCCCCCCAAGTCGACCCATTGGGCACAGGACTGGGAGCATGCGACTCACCACATTACAGTTTTTGGGGTCAGTGCACTGGAAATGGCGTGCCACACGGAGGATGGCTTCCCGGAGGTCAGCCACCAGTTCCGTCTGCTTGATGTTCTTGGCCTTGAGTGCCTCTAGGTCGTCCTCCCCTGAGGGTCCAAAAGGCTATGACAGCCATGGCTCCCGCCTGGTCCCCTTCCCAATGCCAAGGAAGCTCAGGGTCCACTCCGGAGTGTGAGGATGACGGACACCGCCCGTCTTTGCCCCTCCAACCCCAGGCTCCAAGAGCTTAGACTCGACTGGCCGTGAAGAAACCGCTAAACTGGGCCAGGACTCACCGAAGAGCAGGGAGGTGAAACCAGACTTCCTCCGCTGCGTCCTGCGACGAACCACCTGCAGGCACGGGAATGGGTCAGCAGCAGGAGGGCTCCCAGGGCCCAGCCGAGTGGTGAGAATCTTAGCACCAGAGGAAGGGCACAGAGCCTTCCTGGGGGCAGCTCAGGCCTCTCACAGGGACTACCTCATGGGAAATGGCCTCCGGAGCCGACGGGTCAGAAATGTACTGTCAGTTCAAAGCTGGGTCTTCCTACACCCAAACTGGATGTCACCCCACAGCTGGGTCTGCGGGGCCAGGCCTAGCCTGGGTGCTGAGTTGGGGAGGGGACGGCACAGCGGGGGTCCTCATGGCTCCTCCCTCACAGGCCCACCTGAGAGAGGTTGGTGGTGGTGCTGGTCCCCAGCAGCTGACCCTGGTCTGCAAGAAGGTAGGCCAGGTGCTTGCGGCGCTGGGTCTCCACAGCCACGTCCGTGAGGGAGCCAGCTAGCCGCATGGCCTCCCCCAGCAGCAGCTCCGCGTCCTCCATCTGCGAGGGGATGTCCGACAGCGTGTTGAAGATGGAGGCCGAGTTCTCTGACTGGATCAGCTCCTCCTCCTGGGCCATGTGAGGGGGAAGGGGGAGTCACTGCCTGGCACCAGGCCCATGAGCTGTCCCCAATCAGCACCCACCCATGTGTGACTTCCCTGGAAGATCAGCTGAGCACAAGGAAGTCCCTGGCCTCAGGAGACTCCCCCTGCAGGGGCTCTCAGGGGGGGCTCGTGCTCAGGCCACAGGATGCTGAAGCGTGGACCCCACTGCATGCCCCAGAGGAGGAGCACCAGCTGCGTCTGGCC